GAGGCAGAGCAGCTCTGCCTCGGGCTTCCTGTAGTCAGCCGCTGGTCAGTTTCAACAGCGGCTGAATCTGGACGCCAGTTCCGACTTACATACAAATTCAACTTAAGAACAAACCTACAGTCCCTATCTTGTACGTAACCCGGGGAGTGCCTGTATATATATTTTAGAAATGTTCCTCTGGCCATTTGTGAGTCTGTTTTCAGGCAGAGCAGCTCTGCCTCGGGCTTCCTGTAGTCAGCCGCTGGTCAGTTTCAACAGCGGCTGAATCTGGACGCCAGTTCCGACTTACATACAAATTCAACTTAAGAACAAACCTACAGTCCCTATCTTGTACGTAACCCGGGGAGTGCCTGTATATATATTTTAGAAATGTTCCTCTGGCCATTTGTGAGTCTGTTTTCAAGAACTTCTCCTAAATAATAAGAGCTAGGACCACCGAATTTGATATACAGCTTCCTTTTATCCTTATAGGATAGCCTGGCAGCTGCAGTTGGTGGCATTCTGTTCTGGGCTCTCATTCTTCTCTAAAACCAAGAAGGCCTGCAACCCCAACTTAGGAGCTGCGAATTTTCTGACTTTTCTCATGACCTAAGCGTGTGTGTGGCTTGTTTACTGCAAGTATATCAATTCATTGCTTATTTTTAGCAATAACTTTATTTTAATCTTCAGCTGCACTCCGAAAGCAACATGCCGCAGAATTGCACTTGGGTGACTTTTTAGTCTTTCTACGAAGAGTTGTTTCTTCAAAAGCCATTCAGTCAAAAATGGCTTCTCCAAAATGGACAGAAGTGCTTCTTAATATTGCATCTCAAAAGTGTTGTTCAGGTATGATCTCTTCAAAATGGATTGTGTGTGAGTGCATGCATGTGTATGTTTCTGTGAGTGTGGTGTTCCTAATGTAAGTGTTACGTGTATTCAGTGCTCGGTAAGAATTAATCAATTTTAGTAAATATATTATGTTGATCATCATTGTAGTTTTACTCAGCATATTTTAGTGATTGTTTTCCTCTTGTAGGAGTACCCCTAGTGGGTAACTTAAGGACCAGACTCCTAGCACTTCATGTATTAGAAGCTGTGTTGCCTGCTTGTGAATCCAGTGTTGAAGATGATCAGATGGATCAGGTTTATATATGTTTTTAAACTTTTCAAATGGTTTTCTACAGCAAATATTATATAAGAATAATTTTAGTTCAGCAGTGCTTGGTAGATTTTCAGAATTTTGGCCATCTGATGCTCACTAGAGATCTTAAACTAGTTATGAAATAGACCAGAATAGTTGAAACCTATTATTATTTGTCTATATAAGTTTGGAATTAAAGTGATCTGAAGTATGTTCTAATACAACAGGTTGTTGAACAATTGTTCTCTCTTCTATCTGACTGCATGTGGGAGACACCGATAGCTCAGGCTAAATATGCAATTCAAATAAAAGAAAGAGAGCAAGAAATGAAACTGCAGGTAATAATCCTTTTTAAATTGTTCATTAGATTCTGCTGAGTTATATAATTATGAGGTGTTTATTTTGTTCCATTTCTGATAGAAGCAGGGAGAATCTGAAGAAGAGGATGAGAATCTTCCTATACAGGAAGTGTCCTTTGATCCTGAGAAAGCTCAGTGCTGCATAGTAGAGAATGGGCAAATTTTAACTCATGGCAGTGGAGGTAAAGGATATGGATTAGCATCTACAGGAGTCACTTCTGGGTGTTATCAGTGGAAGGTATATGGAATAAAATACATTGTTTTTTTTTCCTGGCTTCAGTTTTTTCCTTTGCTTCAGAAAAATATTGTTATATAAGTAAATATTTAAGAACATACTATACTACAGAAGAAGCAAAACCTAGTGATTCAAGGTCCATTCTCTATTTAAAATAAACTGCACAATGCTGTGCTTTGAATGCTCCTATTTATCATATTGCTGGAGGTCATTGATTCAAACCAAGAACTGATAGCTGGGAAGTCCTTTGTGATTTTTTTGTTCTTGATGGTAGTTTTATTTTAAAACCAGTGGGGCAATGCATTGGAGTTCTAATTGCTAATTTTAGAATAAGTGGTCTCTGGAGAGTGGGAAGGATTAATTTTTTTTAATTTATCACTAGTCATCGTGGTAAAAGGAATGGGTAGATCTCATATTTAGCCTAGTAAATTTTCATATCTTTTTTGCAAAACTATCTTGTATAAATCCCACTTTTAGTGTAATTAGAATGCTTTGAAATTGTATTTTGAAGTAAGGCTAGATTTTGGGATTTGGAATGTAGAGCTAACCCTTTGCACCCAGATTTATCTTCTCTGATAGTCAAGACCTTTGTGGCAAAATTGGATTTTTTTCTCTTGCCCAAATTACCCCTCTGATACTTAAAAGAAAATTGTCCATTCTGGTTCCATCAATCCATGTACTTTCTCCAACACCTTTACTCCAGTCCCTAGTGTCATTTTTCTATTTAGTAATGTCAAGGAATAGCATAAATTGCTCTTTATGCTCTTAATTTCAGAAGAAATTTTGTACTGCCCTGCACATTTTAGGCCACAATTACCTCACTCAATATGAACTTATTTTAGTCTTGCATTTCAAAGGTCTATGTATAGGATCAAGTTCCCAATTAGTCTAAAATTTACCTTTTTTTTTAATTTTGTTTCTTATGCTTAATTATTACTAACCTTTTGACGTTTTCTCCTTCACGTTGTTTAAAAGAGTTAGATTTAATTTGCAGTCTGCTTATTGTGAGAACACACAGGATGATGCTAATCAATGGCATCCTTGTATCCAAAAAACTAATATAGTATGTGGAGTGTCACATTTTTATTTCACTCATCTGCCCTTCAACAATAGAGGTTGTCAACTTAGACGTCAATCCACACGCTGTCCCCAAACTGAGTTCCACTGTTGCTAACTGCTCCCCAAAAGTCCTTTCTTCTGATCAAGATCCTATGAATTCTTCTGTTCTTACTGCTTTTTAACCAGCTGTATGCCACCAGCTGACTAGTGAATTTGTCTTATCTTTACTAGCCTACCCCCAGCATGAACAGGACCCACCCAAACTTTCTGTGAGGAAGGCGAAGAAACTCAAACTGTACTGAACTAATATGATGGAAAGGGAAAAATTCCTTCCCAGTTCTCCCTCAACAGGGTGACTAGCATAATGTCCACTGCTGATATCACCATCAACCTGGTATATTTACCACCAGAAGAGGAAGAAAGGTGCTGCTGATCCTGCACCTTGAATAAGAAGGGAAGGTCTCAATGCAGGCTGACTTTTTAAAACCCTTCATTCCTGAGTGATGAGTCAGCTACCACATGGGCCTCCTTTCTGGGAGCCTTCTCTCCTCCCAAACCATCAAGAATTCACTCTCTCTTTCCAGCCACCCAGCCAAACAACTTCTCCCCCAACTTCTCCTTCGCCCAACTTAAGATGCAGGGTGGTAGTTTTCACTATGTAAAAAAGTTTGTCCTCTTCATCGAGGCTTTCTTAATACTAGATGAGCCATAAATAAAGTTTGTCCTCTTCAATGAGGCTTTCTTAATACTAGATGAGCCATAAAGTCTTAATATAAATACAACCAGCTTTTAAAACCCCCAATTACTTTTCTCATGAACTTTGAATGGACAAATAAAAGGGGAGAAGGCAAAAATATATTTACCAAATATGATGATTGTAGTGACTAGTTTTTCCCAGGTCATGGTCCTTGTCACAGGAAGCTCTGCCAGCTTCTGGATAGAAAAGCTTTGCTTTAAATCAGTTGTACAAAATTATTGTATGGGTATCCACATACACTTTCACTAGATGGTCTAGATATTTAAGCAAATGCACTGTGTAACTTCTTTTTTTGACAAGACCACACTGCCCTCTGAAGGGAGTACTACACACCAGTCTCAGTAGATAATGCAAATGCACTGTGTAACTTCTTCTTTTGACAAGACCACACTGCCATCTGAAGGGAGTACTACACACCAGTCTCAGTAGATCTGAGAATACAGATTTTTTTCATATGGCTAAATGGCATTTCTCAGTTAGACATGGTTATTCATATAGATAGATCATTTTTTCTGTAGTCTCTCACTAGGGAAGTAGATGATAGTGTATTATAGCCTGTATTTTTCTGGGTAAATCATTTACTTTAAACATGAATGAAACTAATTTATTTTACTGACTAATATTACTTCAGCTATATCTTACCTACTTGTAAGAGATACACTCTTAAATTGAAAGTGCTCCAGTATTTGATTTGTGAACTTATGAGACAACTATTGATGTCCAAATATTCACTTCTAATGACTGATAGTAGACCATAATAAATCAATCATTAGAGACTGACTGACCTTTTCAGGAAAAGTGAGATTTTAGAGGGCAGGTAAGTGTATTCAACCAGTGTGCTGTGGTATTAATTTATGAAAAATTTCATAAATTGATATCTTACACATAACATTTAAAACTATCCTTTAATTCTTATATTAAGAGTATAGTCTACTCATTGCTTGAATATAATATTACCTGTGACCAGTATTATATTTGTATGTTGAATTATGCCATGGCATTTTTCTTTTAATCCTTCTAGTTCTATATTGTGAAGGAAAATCGAGGTAATGAAGGCACATGCGTAGGAGTGTCTCGCTGGCCGGTACATGACTTTAACCATCGCACTACGTCAGATATGTGGCTGTATAGAGCCTACAGTGGTAACCTCTATCATAATGGGGAACAGACTTTGACTCTGTCCAGTTTTACTCAAGGAGACTTCATCACTTGTGTATTGGATATGGAAGCTAGAACTATTTCATTTGGTAAAAATGGAGAGGTATTTAACTGTTTCTATCTAGTTTTTCCTTTAATATTTGCTGCAGTAGCTTTGACTGTAAACATTTGGTAACTTACACATGATTCTAAAACCACAAAATTAATTTTATTACTTGCAAAGATTATAAAGTGATACATTATTTTAAATTGTCTATTTCTAAAAACCTGTTTTAAAAGTTTCTATTCCTCATTTTTAACTAGGAGCCAAAACTAGCTTTTGAAGATGTGGATGCAGCAGAATTATACCCTTGTGTAATGTTCTATAGCAGTAACCCAGGAGAAAAGGTAACTGAAAAATATATCTACATAACAGTAACAGGTCATATGGGCTTATTTTATGCTTTTTGTCCTACTGTATGTAAATGTTGAAACCTTTTTAGCTGATCTATGGAAAGAACTCCCCTGATTGTCCATTATAATGCATGATTTTTTGGATCATTAGAATAATAGAATTATAGAATTGGAAGGGACCTCGAGGTCATCGAGTCCAGTCCCCTGCCCTCATAGCAGAACCAAGCACTGTCTACCTACTACACTATTCGAAAAATATGCAGTAGACCTTAGTCCTACATTTTGCAACCTTTTGAAAGACCTGAACTGAGTACTACAAGACTCGGAATCTTGTACATAGATATCTGTCAGTAGAATTGGAACCAATTCCAGTATAAGGAATATTTTGAACTACATATGGACGAACACAAAAAACCAAAAATATTAAATTTTTCAATTCAGAAGAAAATACTAGGATTAGAATAAGCTTTGAAATATAAATTGAGAGCATAACTTGGATTTTTTTTTTAACACTAAGGTGAAAATATGTGATATGCAGATGCGTGGCACACCTAGAGACTTGCTTGCTGGTGATCCTATCTGTAGTCCTGTTGCTGCAGTGCTAGCAGAGGCCACTATCCAACTTATCCGCATCCTTCATCGTGCAGACCGTTGGACGCACTGCATTAATAAAAAAATGATGGAACGGCTGCACAAAATCAAAATGTGCCTTAAAGAAGCAGGTCAAAAACTGAAGAAAAGTCGCTCAGTCCAAAGCCGAGATGAGAATGACATGAGAGAGGAGAGAGAGAATAAAGAAGAAGAGAAAAATAAACATTGTAGGCATGGTCTTGCTGAACTCTCAGAAGTTCAGCTCAAGACTCTCTGTGTAGAGGTATGGCCTGTTCTTGCGGTAATTGGTGGAGTTGATGCTGGTCTTCGAGTTGGAGGCCGATGTGTACACAAGCAAACTGGACGTCATGCCACCTTACTTGGAGTAGCCAAAGAGGGCAGTACATCTGCTAAAGTCCAGTGGGATGAAGCAGAGATTACTATCAGGTAAAGTGCATTCAGTTATTCTTTCAAATAGTTAGCAATTTTAATGATACTTTTACATATGTTTTACATCGGAAACATGAATTTTCAGTCACGAGTAACTTAAGTTTAAAATAAATGCTTGGGCATTCAGCTAGTTAAAGCAACTTTCAAGAATTCTAATTTGAAAAATAAACTAGTACTTTGAAATTAGAGAAATAAAAATCAGTATATAATTCATTTGGAAATCTGGAATTCATTGACATGTTCTGATAGTTTTCAAACTAAATTTTGACTCTAAATTTCCTAATTTGAAGACATCCGCACGCTTGAGCTGTATTTGACATAAGTGTTGCTTATGTTTGAAGTTTATATACAGGCTTATTGATATGTTATCTCTCTGAATTTTTATTACAACTTCTTGGATACAAACTTTTATTGACTAGCTTGCATTTTTGCTATAATTAATTAGCTATATCACATTTGCAAGTGGTGGGAATTCTGTTTTGGTTTATTAGAAGTGGGTAGTGCTACATTGTCCTCTCCTGTCTATAGAAGTTTTGAGGAGGCCAAGTCAGCAGGTGGGACAATTCTCCCTTCTCACAGTTGTGGCTATCCACATCTAAGTTATTGCTGTCTTGAGGCAGCATTTATGCCAAGTTCTGATCTGCTTTGGCCTAAAGAATCAACAGTACATTTATCCCTTCATCAGGTCCTATGAATCTGCAGAGTGGGGTGACTGCAGAGAGGGAAACAGTCTGAAGAAAATTATTTGAGAACTTCATGGAGTCTTTTCACCTTGCCTGCATTTATCTATATGAGAATTGGCTAATGTTTTCTGCAAAAAATTAGATTACTCTATGTCCTTATTTTTTTGGTGATACTTTAGAAGACTGGGAATCAAGTTAATACATAACCACTGATTTCTTTTGTCTCTGGAGATAATTACATTTCAAAGTTTAATTCTTCTTTGAGATGAATGGTGTCTGTTCACACATCTTAGAACTGTTTTGCTAGCCTGTCTGCAAACTAATGCAATTTTTTTACACATAAATTATGCCAGATGAATTAAATCAGTTAATGCATTTACCCAATTCAGTCATGTGTAAGCAAATTAGAAAGAGTCAATAGAAAGGGTTTGCACCAATTTTAAATCTATTTAAGCAGGCGAGATTCTCAGTAACAAAACACTGAAATGGTCATTTTTTAGAATCTAAATTCTGAAGAAAATATTGAGAATATCAAAAACTAAATTCTGAATTTGTAAATCTGCTGGTTATGTAAAAAATATATGGCTACAAGTTACTTCTGTTTGTCCTGTGTATGATGGAGGCAATGACTCATAGGCAATATTTAAAGTAAGGATCTGTCACTAGCAGTAGGAGCTCTTAGGTGCATGGTATGCCTCAGCTGACTGGTCATTGTTAGGGTGCAGGAACGGAGTCAATGATAAAAAAAGTAACTGATAGACTGATATTCATTGATAGAGCTGCTCCCTGCATTGCTAGTGATGCTTTTGTTTTTTGTGCATCTTAGCAGTAAAAAGACAAGTAGTAGAGTGAAATTGATAAAATGCTGGAAGTAGCTTTACGTCAACATTGTAAAAGTTCAGGAGTCTTCTTCATTAAATCTTTGCCTGTGTCCTTCATAAACAAAAAAATAAATTCAGCTCAAACCAATTACCAGACACTTAAGTGATAATTATAAGAAATTATATTGTGAATGACTTGAAAAATTTAAAATAATGCAGCATAAATTCATCATTATCTAAGTGATGGATTATATGAAGTTTCTGGAAATTAATATTCATTGTTGAAAACATGTGCATGTCTCACTTCCTTTGCATTGAGTATTATATCTCCTTGTTTTCTCATCATAACCTCATTTCTTTTCCTTGTTTACATTTAATTTTTAGACTGTCAGTTCATTTAAATTATTTTATTAAATATATTTTACATCTTATTTTGCCTACATTATTTCCTGTACTTTCCTCTTGTCTATCCCTCACTTGCTTCTTCCTGTGTCATTCTGATCTTTATTAAAGCTTCCCAACTTTTTGGTCGCCTAGTGATACCCCACTGTATAATCTGGAGCCCTGTGAACCACTGCCTTTTGATGTTGCAAGATTCCGTGGATTGACAGCTACAGTGTTGCTGGACCTTACCTATCTGACTGGTATTCATGAAGATATGGGAAAACAAAGTGCCAAGAGACATGAGAAAAAACACAGACATGAGGCAGAAGAGAAAGGGGACATTGAACAGAAAATGGAGGGGGATACTGGATCAGATATGCGATCACTACTAAGTGCTGATGATATCAAAGGACCCATCACTACATGTTCCAAGTCAGAAAATGAAATAGCTTCCTTCTCTTTAGAACCAACACCACTAGGTATGGAGTCTCAACATCAAACTATAGAAGGAAAAAGAAAAAATCATGATCACATATCAAGAAATCATGATGTTGTACAGTCAGAACTCCGAGCAGTACAGTTATCCTATCTTTACCTTGGTGCTATGAAATCACTTAGTGCTCTTCTTAGTTGTAGTAAATATGCTGAGTTACTACTGATACCAAAAATCCTTGCAGAAAATGGTCATAATTCTGATTGTGCTAGTTCTCCAGTTGTTCATGAAGATGTTGAAATGCGTGCTGCATTGCAGTTCCTGATGCGCCATATGGTGAAACGGGCAGTCATGCGTTCACCAATAAAGAGAGCTCTAGGACTAGCAGATTTGGAACGAGCACAAGCCATGATCTACAAGTTAGTGGTTCATGGGCTATTGGAGGACCAGTTTGGTGGCAAAATTAAACAAGGTACTTTTTTCAAGTTACGATAATGTTAATCTATAGATTTGTTAAGTTAATAAGAGTTAACGTAAAATTACCAAGAATATGGACTTAGATCACATGTAAGAATATATTTCTGCAGTGATTGAGACTTGTGAAAATCTTAAGTAGCAAAATTAAGGAAGGTAGCAAATCATACCCATTTCTAGAATGTATGGACATTGGTAATTACCCTCTCGTCCTTTGTTTAGTTTATTAAAATAGAGATTGACATTAAGGTACAGAGTTATATGCAGGAAGAAAGGACATCACTGTAGGCAGAAAAATAGAGTTGCGTTTTGTGTTTATACCCAAATTTGAAAGAAAGATTTTATATAAACTCTTTCTGTGTTATATATGTTATGACACAGGTCTACCTGACTTGGCTGATTGTGGGTTAGTGGTCAGGGTAGACTAAAAATAAATGTTTAACATTGTCCATCAATATTGTTTAAACCTTCAGTGAGCAGCGTTTTCTGGAATTAGCTGACTTTGTGGAGACAAGGAGAAAATACAAATAGTGTAGCTTTTAGTCTTTTGTCAGATCTACATTAGGAATGTGAAGGGCTAGTCAACTAGTCTGATTTCCTCCCCCTCGTCCCCTTCGCTGCTTCTATGAGAGAGAGACAGCAAGGGGAGGAGGAAGAGGGGGTACTTCAAAGTGGCAGCTCTGCTTGACACCTGGGGCCACTGCCATGTGGAGCCCAGGGTCTCTGCTGCTTTGAAACACCACATGCAGCCCGGAGCTAGCTGTGGTGTCTCCAGGCTGCACACCACATTTAAAATTGGCAGTGCCGCATGGAGCCCGGGATCAGCTGGGGACTCCCCATTGACCCCAAGCTCCATGCAGTGCTGCCACTTTGAAATGCCACGTGCAGCCTGATGCTGGGCTCCCCATGGCGTTTCAAAGCAGCAGCGTCACATGGAGCCCTGGTGGCCCCAGGCTCCGTGCAGCGATTCCACCTTTGAAGTGTAGCAACAGCCCTACAGCTTGGCGTCCTCTTCAGAGAGGGAGGCCAATGGGAGTAAAAGCTCCTGTCAATTTCCCTTACTCCTCGTGAATTGAGGGGTACAGGTGCCAACAAGAGCTGCCCTCAGCATTTGATTTGGCAGGTCTTAATTCGACCCATTCAATTGAACGCCAGAAGATGGATCTCCAGCGCTGCAAGTGAAGATATGGCATTAGAATGTCTATATATGTAGAATGACATTGTCAACTTCAGAGAAGCTACTTACTACACTGCTCTTGTCAAAATAGCAGATTTCAAACATTTGTAAAGGACAAATCCATGAAAAATGACAAACAACCAAGTAGCTCAGATGTTGAAACTTTAATATTCTAGATTCTTTTGCTATAGGAAATTATATAGTTTATTTTACATAGTAATTTTTATAAAAACTGTTTTCACACCAGAGAATATATGTCTTAATCGCTTAAACCTTATCTCTGTCGAGTTAAAATCTAACTGCTGTAGTATAGTATCTATAATAAGCTCTAATGAAAAAAGGATCTTTCCTCTCTCTTCTCTTCCCATCTTAAAAATGCTGCTCATCAACTACTGTTCATCATTATAAGAATGAGTTTACCAGCATATTTTCCTTCACAAGATATTGGGCAGAAATATTTTTATAAACTGCATGTGTGTTTACTTATTAGGGAGATACAGTAGTGTTTATAATGAGAGAATTTTAAAGAGAAATAACCTATTATATAAAACTTAAAGTTAGGTAAAACCATTCTGTAGCATCATCTTAATGTTCCTATAACATCCTTTTTGAATTGCAGAAGTAGATCAACAAGCAGAAGAAAGTGACCAAGCACAGCAGGCCCAAACACCAGTTACTACCAGCCCTTCTGCTTCTAGTACTACATCTTTCATGAGCAGCTCGCTGGAAGATACTACTACTGCTACTACGCCAGTCACAGATACTGAAACAGTGCCAGCTTCAGAATCACCTGGAGTTATGCCTCTTAGTCTTCTTAGGTAGAGTGCTTGGTTCCTTTAAAATACATTTGACTGTTTTTCTGTACTATCTCAAGTAGATGATTTTGATATATACTTGAACCTCTTTAATCCAGCAACCCAAGGAAACAAGGCATGCTGAATTAAAGATTTTGCTGGGCCAGTGAGGTCTGACTGTGAGGGAGATGAGCATTCCCAGCAGCACACGTGGCTCTGCGCTGCTCTCGGCACTGTCCCCTACCACTTTGGGAGCGTCAAGGAAAAGCCACAGGGGAAGTGCTTCGCTGCACTGCATTTCCTCCAGCTTGGGGGAGGAGGAGCAGCAGCACATAGAGCCACTTCCTCCTCGATACCACAGGTGATCCTGGATTAGGGGCAACTGGAGTATAGAGGTTAAGTGTACTACTTAAAAGGGCCAATATAGAACAACCCAGGAAACTACAGACCAGTCAGTTTAACTTCTGTGCCAGGAAAGATAATGGAGCAGGTAATTAAGGAATACATCTGCAAACATCTGGAAGAAAATAAGGTGATAGGTAACAGCCAGCATGGATTTGTAAAGAACAAATCATGTCAAACCAATCTGATAGCTTTCTTTGATAGGATATCAAGCCTTGTGGATAAGGGAGAAGCGGTGGACGTGGTACACCTAGACTTTAGGAAGGCATTTGATACAGTCTCACATGACCTTCTTATTAATAAACTAGGCAAATACAACTTGGATGAGGCTACTACATGGTGGGTGGATAACCGTTCTCAGAGAGTTGTTATTAACGGTTCAAAGTCGTGCTGTAAGGGCATAAAAAGTGGAGTTCCACAGGGGTCTGTTTTTGGGATTGGTTCTGTTCAATATCTTCATCAGCGATTTAGATGATAGCATAGACTAACTACGCTTCCTAAGTTTGCAGATGATATCAAGGTCAGAGAGGTTGCACGTGCTTTGGAGGTTAGGGTCATAATTCAAAATGATCTGGACAAACTGGAAAAATGGTAAATAGGATGAAGTTTAATAAGGACAAATGCAAAGTAGTCCATTTAGAAAGGAACAATCCATTTCACACATACAGACTGGGAAGCGACTGTCTAGGAAGTACAGTAAAACTCCGGTGGTCCGGCATCCAGTGGTCCGGTACGCTTGATGGTCCGGCACCAACTGCAACCCGGAAGTGCTCCTGCAGCTGCTTCAAGTTGTTAGAGTAATTGATTAACTGCGGCTGGATCCACAGCCGACACGCAGTTAATGTAACTTTCCTCTCTACTGCCAGGAGGGGGGGGGCCAGGGGAAGGTAGGGGTCGGTGGGAGAGGGGGAGGGGGGGCAGGAGGGGGCGAGGGTGTGCCATGGTAAACTGTACCCTCCTCTCCCCATGTGGGGGCCCTGCCTTATACCCCAGGGGCACCTGTTCCAACCCCTGAATTCACACCCACCCAAAAAGCACAATGAACATAAGAGAGGGAAATATTTAGTTACGGCAGGGTGATACGAAGCTGGGAGGGGGTGCAAGTGCTCTGGAGGAGAGGGTCAGACATCAAAATGATCTGGACAAACTGGAGAAATGGACTTAGGTAAGCAGATGCCATTTAATAAGGACAAATACAAAGTGCTCCACTTAGGAAGGAGCAATCCGTTATAGAATGGGAAGTGATTGTCAAGGAAGGAATCTTGCAGAAAGGGATCTCGGGGTCAGCATGGACCAGAAGCTAAATATTAGTCAACCGTGTAACACTGTTGCAAAAAAAGCAAACAGGATTCTGGGCTGCGTTATCAGGAGTGTTATGAGCAAGACACAAGAAGTCATTCTTCCGCTCTCTGCTGATTATACCGCAGTTGGAATATTGTGTCTAGTTCTGGGTACCACATTTCAAGAAAGATGTGGAGAAATTGGAGAAGGTCCAGATAAGAGCAACAAAAATGTTTAAAGGTCTAGAAAACAATGGGCTTAAACTGCAGCAAGGGAGGTTTAGGTTGGACATTAGGAAAATATTCCTAACTGTCAGAGTGGTTAAACACTGGAATAAATTGCCTAGGGAGATTGTGGAATCTCCATCACTGGAGAGGTTTAAGAGCAGGTTAGACAGGTACCTGTCAGGGATGATCTAGACCAGTGGTCCCCAAACTTTTGAGGTTGTCGGGCGCCAGGGGGCGTGGCCGTTCGCCCGCTGGGCGCCAGGGGGCGGGGACACTTGCGCCCCGGGGGCGGCCCCCCCCATAGCCGCATGCCCGGGGGCGGCCCCCTCCATAGCTGCATGCCTCGCCCTTTACAGCGGTGCCGCTTGTCCATGTAAGACTGACACACATCACACAAAGTTTTAGACAGGCATTCAACTTGTTTTTTCGATGCGCAGTCTATGTGTCTGACTAAGCACTCTTTGGCTCGACAAAATAGTCTACAGCTAGGACACCGCAGCGGCACGCCCACGCTGTCTGAGCACGTTCCGCTCAAGCAGAGGCGGCAACAATACCTGCAAGAGTGGTCATGAGTGTACACTGTGTGGCAAAACTCACAATAATTTTTCGCTCTGAACAACTTTTTCACATCCAGAACTCCATAGTAATGCTCATCTCCGCCAAGCGCCACGTGCCCGGCGCTCCCCCCGCCAAGCGCCGCGCGCCCTGGGCCGGCGCTCACCGTGCGCCATGTGCCCGGGGCCAGGCCAGCCCCGAGCACCTGGCGGGCGCATGCAAATGCCCCCGCGGGTGCCATGGCACCCGCGGGCACCGTGTTGGGGACCACAGATCTAGACAGTGCTTGGTCCTGCCATGAGGGTGGGAAACTGGACTTAATTATCTCTCAAGGTCCCTTCCAGTTCTGATATTCTATGATTCTACTTTTTAGTGTCTTTGTCCTGCTGAGAGTGGCTTTTTTGAATTTGATACTTTTATTTTCCATCATGAATTGTTTCTACAGATATAAGCTATATATCTGTCAGCATACATCAGAAGTCACTAGGCTTTAAGTAATATTATGCATAACTGAAAACTATTAAAAATACTTTCCCTATATTCTTCGTGATGTCCTGGTTTTTGTTTGTTGGGCTGACAAATTTAACATTTTAATTAACATTTTAACATTGTTGATTCTGGAGCTAGATCCAGCTTTGTTTCAAGAGAGTTGTTGGTCAGTCCCTGTGTATTAAAACTCTCCTCGGTTGTCATCCAGTTGTGTGATATTGCTAATTAATCTCCTGCATAGATCTGCTATTCATGATGAAGGAAAGCTTGTTTTTATTAAATGGAATTGTTTTGAGTTATTGCTTCTGATCTACCCTTTTCTTAGTACTCTTTAGGGGCTGTTTTCAGGCACATAGGAACTGAGAACTACTTATAGTGAGAGGCCTCACATGCTGGAACATTCAGATCCTAAAGGACAAATTCTCTGGCCTGCGTAGCGGGGCTGAGCTCTGAGCAGATGTTTTGGGATGTTGGAAGGAACAATACTTCTGATGGATCTCCTAGTCCAGCCCATACGCTGCCTCTGCTCACTCCTTTGTGCTGTTGGGAGCAGCACACTGCAGAACTGAGCTTGTCCTGTCACAGCATAGGTGTGTTGTCCCTTCAGGGTCCTTCCCACTAAAATGATACTCAATCTTATATGAAACTGCACTTGGTTCTGTAGTCAAGGTAGCATGGACATTTGTCTCTTGAGTTCACACCATCTATTTAAGTATGTTAGTACTAGCTAATGGTGGGCATGATGCAAGACTTCCACAGTGTGGAGATGTAGTGTAGTTTAAATACATCTTTCCTTTTTTGAAAGGCAAATGTTTTCAAGTTACCCAACCACAACAGTACTTCCAACACGACGTGCACAGACTCCTCCAATATCCTCCTTACCAACGTCTCCTTCTGATGAAGTGGGAAGGAGACAAAGTCTGACCTCTCCTGATTCCCAGTCCACGAGACCTGCCAATCGTACAGGTACACTAGTAAGCGACACACAACTTGGTAGGAAGTGTAGGAATTTCATAAGTTTAAGAATGTTCAATTTAACCTTTTAATGCATCATGAACTGATTGGAACTCTACATTTTGATAGAATTCAGTGTGCAAGTCACATCAAAAATCTTATGGTGGAGACCTTAGTACTAAAACTCAGCAATTGATTGCTAGAAAAAAAGTTAAAGTTGGTGCTTATAAATAGCTGAATAGATTGCATACTGATGTCTGTGTACAAGAATGAGCAGGTGGTATTGATGACTATGAGAAAATTCTAAAATATTACTTTTGGTTTGTTTGGTATTTGTTCAAAGAATTGCTTAACAGAACAAACTTCAAGTTTATATCCGAACCCACTAGCCTTTAAGTAATAGTAAAGCCATTACTGGACACTTGTACACTTAGGCTACTTTGAAGTAGGAATAAACTTTGAAGTAGGAATAAGAGATCCTCTGGAATAGGGCTTTATTCCGGAGGATCGGGCCAGTCTAGACGCTTTTTTTCCAGCTTGGGGAAAAGCCGGAAGAAAAGTGTCTAAACTGGCCCGATCCACAGGAATAAACTTTGAAGTAGGAATAAGAGATCCTCTGGAATAGGGCTTTATTCCAGAGGATCGGGCCAGTCTAGACGCTTTTTTTCCGGCTTTTCCCCAAGCTGGAAAAAAAGCGGCGGACATGTTTATTTAAATCCGCGGGGGATATTTAAATCCCCCGCGGATTTCCCTATTCCCACTTTCAAAATTAGCATGCCCCTTCCGAAAAAGGGGCCAGTGTAGACGTAGCCTTAGGGTCTTAATGTTGCATAACTGGAAGCTATTAAAAATGATTTTTCTATATCCTTCCTCATGTCCTGGTTTTTGTTTAACATTTTAATTAACATTTTAACATTGTTGGATTTTGGACCTAGGTCAGGCTTTGTTTAAAGAGAGTTTTCCTTTAGTCCCTGTGTTTTGAAAATCTCCCATTACAAGCTAGAATATATTATTTATAACACTAAAGTATATTGATTGTTTTCCGATATCCATCATTACTATATATTACTGAAATAGTCTCCTCCAGTTAATCCTGTTACAGGGGCAAGCTTCTATTTTGAGTAATTTATACAATGTTGAAACCAAATAGCACCATTTTTCTGACTGTTGTCCTCTTATCTGAGGAATGATATCTGGTTGGAAACATTATTAGAATTGGTACACTGT